TCCTTCCTTCCTTCCTTCCTTCCTTCCTCCCTCCCTCCCTCCCTCCCTCCCTCCCTCGGCAAGAATTGTAGTTCTTGCTTTCATTTTCAAAAATCTAGGTCATTTTGGTTTCATGTAGATGTCAAAATGGAGTGGAGAGAGAGCCATGAGGCAGGCCACAAGATAGCGGCCAAGGCCTGGACCTGCCCCTATCAACACTGATTCACACAGGGCTTGGAGTGAGGAGGGGAACCAGCACAAAATTGTGCCTCCAGTCCCAACCCCCCCCCCCGTAACTGCCCCAAAAGTATACAATGGTATCAAAAGTCGCTGAGAGAGTGACGGTGGTTGCACCACCCCATCCCATTCTTGCGAAAGATCATCAACAAATGTGACTGATGCAATTTCCATTTTGTAACTGGGCCTGAATCCTGACTGAAAGGGTCCAGATAATTTGTTTCATCTAGGACCTTCTAAAGCTGCCAGGCTACCACCTTTCCCAAAAAGGAGAGGTTGGAAACTGGACAAAAGTTTAATTTGCACTTAGCATGTGTGAAACTATTCATAAACAATGGTTTGTGATTATGGTTATATGAGATTTCATTTATTTTCATTTGTTCATGACCAATGATTAAAGAAGCTGTGGCCTACTGCCATCCTCTATTGGCAGATATTCAGTTTATTTAGTTCATTTTTTTATTTGGGATATTTATGTGGCCACCCAACTCAAATAATACTTTAAGTGTCCTTTGAAATGATTGTTGTTGGAGAATAATAGCTCTCATACTAAGAACCAATAAATTAATTATTTTCCATCATCGTACCATTTTTAAAGATCAGAGTTATGTCTATTCTAGATGTTTGGATGATTGGCTATCACAAGATTTTCAGCACTGGAAATTGAAGAACAAGGAGGGCTGCGAAATGCTGGAATAAAAGTTTTAAACATTTTAATTCCTTTTTGTCTTTTGCATACTATCTCTTATTATTAAGTAGGCTCCCCCAAACTATTAAGACAATCTAGTCATCTAAATTGGGGCTTGATAGAAAAAAGAGAATGAAATAATACTTCTCATGAATTTTATAACTTTACATTCCTATAAAGACTGACTGACTTTGGCTTGAGGTTCCTTCAGAATCACTACAGGACCACTTATTCCTAGTAAAATTAAAGTATCTGATATGTTATTATTCATTATATTTATTATCAATAATACTCATTTTCAGAGTATTATTATTAGTATTATTAGTATTATCAGAAAGTAAGGGAAACAGGGAAATATCCAACTCTGGCAGTATTTGAAAAGCTCGGCTCAGCATATTATTATCTCATCCTCATTAAAATCCTGATAAGTTTTGACATCCATGTTTGTGTGAGATAAGTTTCAATGTTTATTTTTAATGTTACTATATGGATAATACTGGAATTTAAATACAATTCTGATCCATGTAGCCATGAAAATTTTATAATATAGAGTAATTCAATTTAAAACTACATTTTAAGTAAAATGTATATTTCACCTTGTTATTCCTTTGAATCAATCAGTTTTAAGGAATCTCTTAAAATTTTTGCAGTTTTTTTTTAAAAAAATGACATTTTCATGTGAATCAAACATGGCAGTATTCTTGCTGGTTTACTTAAATTGAGTAAACTTATTTGATTTATTTTGGCCGTGTGCTTCTGAATTTCCACAATGATAGTATATTTCATGTATACTGGTTGCATAAGAGAATGTTCAGTAAGGCTTGGTTACAATCACTTGGCTTTTGAGATATAACTCAGAAGATGGAACATTAATCCATATGATTTGGTCTTATTCTTCTATTGTTGCATTTTAGACTTATATAAACAAAATGGTTAACATGATTCTGGATCAAATATCATGTTAAAGATGAATATGTACGCTATAGTATTTGAACTCTGTCGAGATACCAAGAATTATGCATTTTGGGGACTGACTAAAACAGGTATTATACAGTGGTAGAAAAAGGCTATAAACATCTCTGTTAAGCAATTAATTGCTTATATATGTAGTTTATCAACATTAAGATGATTAAGTTTGCATTGCATTGGTTCTTTAATATTATGTACTGTATGCATCAGTGCTTTTAGATTGTTATTACGGTATTAATATAGTCAAATAAAAACTAAAAGGTTAATATAGGCTGGCATCAAATCATTTGAAATAATAATAGAGCTTAGTACAGTTTAATCTGATTTATTTTTTAAAAAAACACTTCATATTGCAATACATTAAGCCAACTGATATGAATTTAAATGCTGGCTTAATCAATAAAATATGTTAATTTTTATCAATTTTATTTAATATTTATTACAATTGTGTAAGCAAACTATGAGGTTCAATTGGCTCTAGTAGCATCCACAAGGCTAACTAACTTGATTGCAACAATATTAGAAATACACTTCATCTGATGGCTATCTGGGCCCAACTTTGGTAAGCTTTATAAATCTTTATGAATATGCATTATGTGTCTTATCTAGAATCCGCTAGGAGAGTAATGAAATTCAGGAATAAGTTTTTAAAATTGTTTTTAATGAAAAAAATACTGTGCGAATAGAACGGCAATATAACAAAGACATTTTAGCTGATTCAAGGAAAACAAGTTTGTGGAGAAAAAGAAGGAAATGAAACATTTAAAATATTTATCTAAGATCAGCCATTTCTTCTAGAAAGTTCACCAAAATATGGATGTAAGACTAAACCATTTTTTCATCACAAACCTAAACAAATTACCAAAAAGCAAATCCCAACCTGAATTTACTTTCAAGTCATGTGTATAGGGTTGAAATTCCAATGGACAATCATATAATAAAATTATTCACTTCATATCTCTGTGTTACTTTTCTGTTGTTGTTTTTTACAAATAATTTCTAGATTCTTGATCCTAGCCTTATATGTTTAGAAGCAAGGCTAATTTAATAGTACTGAATTTATTTTAAAAATGTGTATTCAGAATCATATACATTTCTAAACAAATTCTGGTTAGGACTAAATCCTCAGCCTAGAATTCTGGAAGGATATGATGGCATAGTGTTTCTGTACCTGACATACACATATGTATCATATTACATTTCTGCAGTTTCTGAAACCTCAAAACAATAGATTTTATAAAGTAAAACACAAACTTTCTTAAGTTTGTTATTTTACAGCAACATAAGTTTTAACATCACTATGAACAAAACTGGCAAAAATATTTTCTTCAGTGGTATTTTTTGCCTATTCCAATTGTAATGCTACTTTGTGTAAACCACATTGATAATTCAGTTTATGACAAAATCAGAAAGAAAACAGTTCATAGACTGTGGTGACATACCATACTTGTCATTGGTGGAATAGAGTCCTGGCAATTTGGCTGGCAGGGAAAGGCGGGTGAGAATTTTGAGAATTCTTTCTTTAAGTAGCTAATCTTTAGCCCTATTTGACTGTATGGGGAAGAAATATGGAACAAAACTACTGAAAAAAATTGCTTTTATGAATCTTATTAATTTACTTGCATAAAAATGTATAATTCTTTTTATTATACTGTTGAAATAATTGTGTGCCTTTCATGGTCTGAAAAATAGTTTCAGAGTACAAATTGGATGAATGATCCCTATTCCTTCCAGCATTATAATTCTGATTACTTTGTGGTATTGAAGATACTTTTACAAAAAAGAGAAATGGAAACAAATTGATCCAATGTGGTTTGAACATGCATTTTTTTTGGAAACAGGCTGATTCTCACAACACATTGAGCACTGCTTTTAATTAGGGTGTGATCGCAAGCATATGTCGTTTCAAATGTATAGTGACTTTTGTATGTAGCACGAGTGTTAATAGAGATGACTTATTGTATAAAATCACAACTAAAAGAATTTTTGTTAGCTGTAGCTTGACAATGAAAGTGATTTAGGTACTATGCTGCTAACCTTTAAATATTATTCCATATTTGACTACTCTTTTACCTCTCTTGCTAGGTTTTTCTCCCAGTTTTCTTAGTTCAAATTTAGAAGACAGCATTGCTACAGCCTGTCCCATTTTAACATTCTTCCTGCCATACATCTTAGTGTAATGCACCCTCCAACAGAGATGAGTCATACCAGTTTCTAATGCACTTAAACCTTCTTAAAACTGAAAGAAATATCTTTAGAACTGAAACCTGATCCATTTGCATATATAATAGGGACTGATAAGCCTCTAACTATGCTACTTGAAATAAAATATCCAATATCCATATTTAGCTAGTGGCTGGAAAGCATTACATTAAATATAGATGCCTGTATAGTCTGCAAGTTTAAGTGTTCCAACTCTTTAGAAGGAATCTTTGAGACAGAGAAAGAAAGAAAAATCCATTTACCCAGCAGACTCAAGATTTGCATTTTTTTAATTGGCCCAGATATGTTGATTCAGGTTATGATGATCCCTGTCTCTTTTGATACTGTATTCTAAGCTTTTCCAGCTGTTCGACACATTGTGTCTGGGTCAACTTCAGTGTCCGGTTCTCGTCTGTCAGATCTGCGTACTCCTTCGTTAATTGTGCAGCATCTCTGTTCTCTTTTTCAGCTTCATCTAATCTAGTGATCAACTCTTTTCTGAAAAGGAAAACAAAAATTAAGTGACTCCTATTTTTCAAGATTATATTAAAGGTGAACACAGATATCTTGACTTGGATCCAAAGATCCATGAATAAAAGAAGAAAAAGGAGAATTGCTTTCTGAAAATATTAGTCAGGGAAAATGTAGGATTTTTTTCCCCCCTGGGAAAACTCAAGTTGGTGTGTTCAATATAGCAATCAACATGCTCATCATGGTAACATATCCATTGTGTATAATTTCACTAACAGCTGTAGGTAAATCTGAATTAAAAGGAAAAAAATAGCTGTCTTGTAATGTATGTATGTATGTATGTATGTACGTACNAGACAGACAGACAGACAGACAGACAGACAGACAGAGAGACAGACAGACAGACAGACAGACAACATATATTAATTCACGACTGCACAATATAGCTCAAAACTGCTGTTTCTCAGGAAGATTCCCATCACATTTATTTTTTCCTTATTTAATTATAGATATAGGTGGTGGTTCTGATTTTCAAAAAGATTAAACTCCCTAACTGACATGGACTGACTTAAATTGCCTTCTATGACTGCTGTTAGAAAACTAGTTTCCATTTGGCACCCATATGTTTTGTCTACATCTTTATTTTAGGTTTTGGTGATTATTACATATGTGGCTCTTGCCTAATAATACCTCAAGAAGTGTTTTAATGAACAAAAACATGTCACACTAATGCAGCGTAGTGAACTATCTTATGGAGTCACATCAGAAATAATCATTCATCTCAAAATTTGAGAATTCATCTCAAAAACAGCAACTTTGTCATGTGCCCGGGAAATCAGGAGATTCAGACAGTTCATATGAATACCAAATTTATTGCAAGCTTAAGTTCTCTAAAAGAATCTGCCAACTGACCATTAAGGGAAATGCAGGAAAGATAAGAGAGGCATTCAAGGTGGGTTGGACTTAGATCTCTTGTGGGCGTGAAGGGATTCATGACTTATGATACATTTGAACCCCTTCCTTGGGCTCAGTCTGGTCATCTCCTATAAGCTTCTGCCAAAAAGTAAAGGTGCTTCAAACTTTGTTCAGGTTTCTGCTAATATTGAGAATAGGACATGTTTCAGTATGTAAGAATTTATGCCAAATTGTATTAGTTATGTCTATAAAATTAACTAATCATCTGGATGAGGAAATGATAATGATATTATTATTGTTAATAAAGATATTTATTGGATTCATAGATAACAACAACAATAATAGCAATATTCTGCTCCGATTGGGACTTGAAGAGTTAGGAGATATGAGTAATATTTAGATTTCAAGAGTCATATTGTCTGAAGGTTGGTATGCACACATTTCCATTATCTGGAAAACAGAAAGGGGAAGACACCCTCTCCCATGTCCATCTATACTTGCAACTGAATAGCAGGCTGCTGTGGTGTATTTCCATAACAGAAGACCATATAAGCAGTGCTTTCCTCACATTTTTTTCCCCTTAGGATAAATATTTTTCACTCGATCATCTGTTTTTCAGGATAGAAGCATTTGTAGCAACAGCTGGACAAGTACAAAAAGGGTATCAGGAGTGGGCTGTAAGGGAGAGACCACAAAAGCTATACATGATCCAGGAATATTTTCCCACTGCCTATGAATTAACATCATGTTTGCTTTGGTCTGCAAAGATATTACTCATATGGAAACTGTGCCTTACAGCTAAGTGTACAGAAGTTGTCTGATTAATCTTAGCAGCAAGTTTAAAGTCTGCTTTGACCAAAAATAGATCTTCAGAACAAACGTGTATTTCCTAATAATAGTATGGAAAAATTCAGCCAGAAGTCTTAAGCATCCTAAGCAAAAAGTGCCTACCACAAAAAAAAAATGATGAGTATAATGGTATTTAAATCTCTGCAACTTTTGATATGGAATAATGTAATGAATTATGATGACTAACATCATAGCAAAATTTACAATTATACATTCTAAATCATGAATGGATATAAAAATAAATGATTTATGGGTGTAGTCTTACACTACCAAGAATTTCTGATTTCTAGAAATGCAAAATTGAGCAACTATACAAAAATATTTTCTTTCCTGAACTGAATTTTTGAATTTAAAAAAAAGTTTGGGGTAGTCAAGAGTACTTTGTTAAATGTATGATCACATTTTTTTAGTGCTCAGATAAATTCTTGGGTTTAGAATTCTGTCATTTTAACTTTTAATAAATAACAGATTAACAGAGTTGGAAGGGACCTTGTTGGTCATCTAGTCGAACCCCTCCGCCCAAGCATTTGTGACAGACGGCAGTCTAGTCTCTTCTTCAAAGTTTCCAGTGATGAAGCTCCCACAATTTCTGAAGGCAAGCTGTTCCATTCGTTGATTGCTCTCACTGTCGGAAAATGTCTCCTGATTTCCAGGTTGAATCTTCTTGCAGTTTCCATCCATTATGCCCTGTCTGGCCTTCAGGTGCTTTGGAAAATAGGTTGAACACCTCCTCTCTGTGCAGCCCCTCAAATATTGGAAAACTGCTATCATGTCTCCACTGGTCCTTTTCTTCTGCACTCTTTCTAAAGTCTCAACATCTTTTTTATAATGTGGTGACCAAAACTGAATGCAGTATTCTAGGTGTGGTCTTACTAAGGCTTTATAGAGTGGTATTAATACCTCATTTGATCTTGATTGTATCTCTCTGTTAATGCAGCTTAGAATTGCATTGGCCTTTTTGGAAGAAACAATGACAATCCCTTTGGGGAGACGTGGGTGTCGAGTGTGCCCTTGAGGGAGGTCAGCCTGAAGGAATTCAAACCAACATCCATCTCTATTCTGGTGATGACCTGGGAAAGCAAAGTCAGCTTCCCACCGTTGCGTGTCAGAATCATCCATAAGTCTCGCTTATGGTATTTTGGAAAACCACAAACAAAGCTAGATGTGCCATATCAAGCTTATTTTGATGTGGCTGATCAATCTGGCATGGTGTTAATGGTGNAACTTGATTGACTCACCCTCTGATTCTGTGTTCATGTGTTCTAAGAGAATGGTTTAAATAACCCACAATTGTGTTCAAAACTTGCAAAACTGAATGCAAACAATTATTTGTAAACAAATATTAGCCTGTTGGATAAAACAAAAAATTCTATTTATATATTTTGTAAAGTATGTCTTAAGAGAGAGTATCAAGAGAAGCAGCAGCCATGTAAAAAAAAACACCCAACCACTGGAACATGATATCTGACCAAGGTGATGACTGTAACTTTCCCATTAATATATGTTTTCCTCGTGTTGGGACTGCCTTTGCTCACATTGCAGATAAAGTTGTTTTTCCTGTAGAGGAAGAAACTATAAAGATTCATTAAATGAGGAATGGTGACCTCATATTTGCTTCATTATTTACATTTATTATAAGAAGATGAAGAGCTAAAAATACATATGTGCCCACTTCATACTAAGATATGCAGCAGATGTATTTTCTACTCTGGGATTATGTCGCAATACAAAAAAGCCTTGTCTGAAGGGTCCTAAGAGCTCCAGGAGGACCATGAAAGACTATTGGGATGTCAAGAATGAGCAGCTGGACAATAGTAACATCCTCTTTTTCTTCTGGAATGAGAATGGAATGAGCAGATCTCTGGCAAATTGCCATATGGCAGGCAGCCCGAAACAGTCTGGGTAAGGGGAAAACTTTGATGGATTCAATGATGAGCATTATGCTTACTCTTTCAGTGATTAGTTTGATGTATACCCCAGTGACATGTTTTTTTTGCATGTTATGTGGAATTGTATCTAATCAAATCAATTCTGAAAAACCTTGCCAAGAAAACTGCAGGAACTTGCTTTGGCAGTCTTCAAGAATCAGATATGATTGAAGAGGGAAAAAATGTGGAATTGTATCCAATCTTTGGCTAACAAAAACAAGGTATTTTGTTCATCATTCCTTTGGCTTACTAAATTATTTTTATAAATAACAATGATTAGAAAATTCCTCATATATAAGGCAAAAAATATTTTTTCTTAATACCAGTGGCTTTCTGAACAGAGGTAGAAGCTATTAGTTTGTTTGCTCAAAGGAAATCTTGGTGAGTTGAATGTAGTTTATTCCAAATATGTGGATAGGACAGTAATTTGAAAAAATAGCATTTACTTGATTAACTACATCACTGAGCCGCAGTGGCACAGTGGTTAGAATGCAGTACTACAGGCTACTTCTGCTGATCACCAGCTGCCATCATGTTGGCAGATCAAATCTCACCAGGCTCAAGGTTAACTCAGCCTTCCATCCTTCCGAGGTCAGTAAAATAAGGACCCAGATTGTTGGGGGCAATATGCTGATTCTGTAAACCACTTAGAGAGGGCTGTAAAGCACTCTAAAGTGGTATATAAGTGCTATTACTATTGCTATTGACAAAACATAATAGCAGAGATTTTGACTAAAAAATATGGCTCCATATTTATTCTCTATGTATGCTCATCATTTTATTATTTATTTATTTATTTATTTATTTATTTATTTATTTATTTATTTATTTATTTATTTATACTTTAAGAATGCTCAACCCTAACTAAAAAATGAGG